TATATATATATATATATATATATGGGTGTTCTACAATAAAAGTCATGTTGTGTGGAGTGGTTATTGGTGATGCTCGTGGACACAGCTCCATTATCTGCTATGAAGTAGGGAAACGTGGTTTCTTGTCTCTCAGCCGTGTGCGTGTGCGCGCTTTGGATTCCTGGGCCAGTGTGCTTTGCAGTTGCGCGGTCAGGTCATACTGATTCTGTCAGCGATTTGTATTGTCATTTCGTTTGACCAGCCGGCTTGTTTGTGCCGCCTGTTACTGATGTAGACTTTAGAATTCAGGGTACAGCCTGTACCCTGAATTCTAGCCGTGCGTGGGTTGGGGTGGATGTGCTCCAAAAGCTGTCACATCAGCAAGTAAGCCGGGCTGGGAGCCAGAGGTTGAGATAACCGGACTGTAGTGTCCCCTTTTATGTTGGATTCAAAGACTAACATTGGCTAGTTGCTGATTGTAAGTTGGATTGTTGATTGTGTATGACATAGTTGGGCTCCTTCTCAGGTTAAATTTGTATAATTTGTGGAGACGCAAAGTAAAACTTCACATTTCACAGGACAAAAAAAAGCAAATATGTGTGTCTGTATTGTGAAATTGAGCTCTTGGTGTCAAATGTGGCAAATGTTTATTTTACGAAGACGGTGGCAGTTTCCTGGCAAAGTTATCGTCCTAGAAGTCGTGTCTCTTGAACAGGTAGACTGCTCTCTAATCTGCAGTGTGTACTCGGTGTGTCCTTCAACAAGACCCTGAACTCGTGTCCAGGATAAGAACACCAGCTGAACGGCTGGTAACGTATTTCCACAGCTCGCATTAGGATCACAGTGGGAGTGATCCTAAATGGATTTTGGATTTCGAATAAGCAGCGCCTCAGATATCCTACTACAGACTGGTGTTACTGTTGGTTTGGGGGGGAAATAACGCTTTCATGTGTTGTTATAGTCTCTTCAGAGGTGACTTAATATTTTGCTATTGGATTGCTGAACTTTCACCTTTGTGAAGTTCGTTTTTCCCTGAAGACAAATTGGAATAAATTGACAGCAATATCATAAAACCTCTAGTACATCAGCCCATCACCTTCTCACCAAGTAATCAAATGATTTTGGTGACATGATATTCTCTTCACCCTGACCTTTTGATACTCTTAACTTTCCAAAGAGGACATTATTCTGAGGAATGATTTGAGGCTTTTTCAAATAACTGTGACGAAGTCTGAACTTGTTACCGCTCAAAATAGCTTCAAAAAGTAGCCTCACCTATGTTTGGTTGCTGGTGATATTGGTAGTAAACATGCCCGTGACCGTCTCCTCTCCAGGGTGTGTGGCTGCATTGATACTGTCATTAAAAAAAAACAACGATGTTCCTCAGGCCGGTCCTGTCCGAAGCCCTGGCCAAAGACTCGATGCTGGAATGCTGCTCGGCTACACTACTTCTTATCCCACCTGTCTGTCAAGAGAACACGCATCTTAAATCTCCGCAGGTGAAAATCCGGTTTAACTGCAGCGCTACAGGGGAAGCTCTGACTGCAGCGTCAACGCTGGTCTGACATTTAAACTTCTGGCATTCAGCTGAAAGGCTCCTCAGTCTGTGATTTGTCATGTGACCCTGTTTGTGCAGCGGTGAACATCATGTACAGTATGTTGCTTTGTATGTTGCTCTCAATATCGGGACTCGTTGCAGACATGTAGAGACGGACAGTGAGGCCGTCGGGTAAACGTGAATTAATGCATCATGTGACCCGATGGGTCCTTTTAGTCTGACTTTATTGTTCAGGCGTTCAAGTAAATCTATAGTTCAGCACAACTTCAGTATATGTTAAATATTTATGGTCCAGAATTTGAGTCAATCTCCGAGACAAGTGGGCTCAGTTCCTCTGAACGGCCTAAAGTCGCCGGTGTGTTTTGGCGCCCATGGGGAGTTTTAATGGTGAATTAGTGCTAAATGTTAGCAGTGCTGTTGCTCGCCTTGTTTCAATCCATCACCACAGAACAAGAGAACCAGTATGTTTTCATAAGCAGGCCCTCTTAAATGTTTCAGTCATTCAGCCAGTCGACACGGTGAAACGTCCAGGCTGCAGATGATTCTAGCAGCAGGTTTGGTATAAAACAAATCCAGTTCACAAACAAGAACATACTGAGTAACACATTGTACGATTGATCAGACGGCCCAGTACGCAAAATTGACTCTTAATTCCCAGCAAAATGCAGCCACTTTGTTTAAGCAAGTTAGCGTCCCGCTAACTGACCCGTTAAAGGGACACATCATCCACAAAATGAGCATTTTGTAGAACCATTGTTGCATTTAGCAACAGCTAAATTATTAATATTATGCGACTCAGTCAGTATAATTAAAGTCTCATTTATCCAGCTAAACGCTCAGTACTTCCCAAACACATGCCTCTTCACTGAAACATACACTTAAACACTTCAGACTCATCATTTTGCAGGATTGCATGACTAATGGATCATCATAAAGTTATAGGGCAATGATTGCAAAACGTGCTGTCATTGTAGGGACTGATTTAGAAAATAAATATACACTCAATGGAACAGATATTTGTTAATTATTAGAGCACATGTGGGTGTTTTCATCCATTTTCTGAATGAAGTTCTGCATGAACCCAAACTAAACTTTGTGTTTGCTTTATTTCCTTCATTACTGAGCGTCGTCTTTCCTTCGTTTACTCGCAACACAGGCCGGGCACGGATTCAGAGTTCAGTGCATGTGGACGTTCATTGAGCACACAGTCTTACAGCTTCTTATTATACTTTTACTGTAACAATGGCTGAATGAGTGCACGAGCACTCGAGGGGCTCTACAGCCTCAGAAGGCGTGTAAAGTGGCTCCTGTAAGAAGTGCCGACGTCATGTGAACACATCGATCGTCATCGCCTTGACTGAGAATCTAACCATCCTTCCTACATTCTTGCATTTTGATAAAAACATTAGAAATTATTGCCCAACCAGTTATGCATGTTTGTGGCTATTAGTACAATTTATTGTCTAAAAAACTTATGACAAACCTTTTGAAATTAGGATTCACTGCTCTGAAATAGACTGGTCTGGTCTGGCAATTGAATAAATGTAAATGTAGGTGTATTTGGTGTATTAGCATACCGTTAGCACGATACAGAAACCTTAATTAACACATGCAAATGTGCAGCCAACAGAGACTGTTGAATGAAGCCATCACACTTTGGGTGACGTGACATTTGGGGGTTAAAGTAAAGTGTGACAAGATTTTCTTTCTTTTGACGAGCCTC